ATGCCCTTCGAGCAAAATTCCAACAAATACAAAAGGGATCGACTGAGATGTATGTATGTTGGTGCCGTAGGAGAAGGGAGAAGTAGAGAAGGAGCTCGAATTGAAATTAAGTGAACCTAACGTGCACTCAAGTATGAGTAGGGAGCCAATCCGCTCATAGCAAGTACTACCCGACGCAGGCGCATTTCGAACGTCACTGTAAAGCTCTCCGCGTCCCTCTGTCTCGCTTCCACCGCGACTTTCCCCTCTCCTTCTAGTATTTCGTTCTATTCCCACCTCCTCGATGGAGTATCTCTTTCTCTCCTTCCCACGGCCGACCGATTCTCTTATTTTGTTTTCGGTCGGCCGGCTCTCTTTCTCTGACTTCTGCTTTCCACCTTTTTCTTTTGGCTGTCCCTCCAATGTTCCAAGGTATCCCTCGGCCCGTACAATTCTCCAACAAAATCGTCAACGTTAACTATCCAATTGCCACCTGTCATCCATTGTACCTAAACGCTGACGCGGACGCGACGATTTATATCCATAATGCATACTGGTGTTTCCGGTTTTACTGGTCGGCTGCTGTGACATATGCGATCGTTCCTGTTTCACGTTAATATATATGTATACATATATATGTATACATATAAATATCTACGATCCAAAATATGCTCGTGTTATCTTGGAATCACTCGGTCGTATGGTACATCTTCTATTTCGGTGCCGGCGCAACGGTTACCCGCGTAAATGATGCATTCCGGTCCAATAAAGGAAAAGAAACAGGAAACTGGAACTCAACGTTGAAGTAATTGTACCAGGGCTTTCCAGGGTATAGTTTTTTTTAATGGTAAAGCATACACCAAACCCGCATACCTGAAATAACCGGTTTGATTGGAAAAACGTTCGTGAACAAGGCGTGGTCGGAAATGGTTGGAGGTCGACGGGAACGAATATAGTAGGGGAACTTAACGGAACATGTCGAAAACGGCCGAATCTGGCGTCTATTGATCGTAACAGGTTCTCCGCGCTATATTCCGTGGAAATACTCAACCTGTGCTTGAAATTCTATATATAGATCAACCAGAATTCCATAATCGATTCCTCTCTTGCAAACGGGACTCCATATTCTTTACGCTTATTCAACGTTTTTTATTTAACCAAAATATACGTCTGCATAACACGTATGACACATCTTGACGTTAAATGGCACGATATCTGATCCGACGGGTAATTTACACATGTATATTCATGTTTGTAGTCAAAGTATTGGCGTTCTAGTCGCGTCTGCAGTCGAACGTTATCGTAGAAACGAAAAATGAATAAAGAAAAATGGGAAACGTCCAAGATAATGGAGATTCGCTTCTGAGCATTTCTACCGTCCCCTCTTTCCGGCGAATAAAGCTCAAGCAAGCAATTGAATAGCTAAATATATATACACGTACATATATATATATATATACATATACATATACATATATATATATATATATATCCAGTTGATATTCTCATTCCACAGAATACTTGACTATTGATTTCATCCCTACCATGGACTTCTCGTCCTTTGGTTGGCAACTCCTACTAGTATGCGCAGCAGCCATGTTGGTGTGCGCAGAAAGGTAATCGCCTTTATGGAGGAGCGAATTCACCACGATATAGTAGCGGTCTAACTTGATGCAAGGAGAAAGGGGATACTTGGATACGTACGTTGACCCAACATCGCTGACTACTACTCCCCCTTCGTCACTTCCTCCCACGGATCTGGTTTCGCTGCGAGTTGCGCACAACTTTCTAAGCTCGAGTCTTTTCTGATGACGTTCCCGTTCAAGTTATGCTCATTGCGTGCGTAGTAGTAGGGGAGAAAAAGATAAAGGTTTCGATGGTGGTTCTGGTTAACGGTACTTCACAAGCTTTTCCTTTATCGCCGAATCAACCGCGTCTACGACGAAGCTTTCCATCTTCGCGTCGCTATCGAACTGATTATCAATGTAATCAAATTGTTAACGATTATTTTCGAGGCGCTTTCTTGCGTGTTTATTGCAATAATCGAGAAATTAATCAGATGATATTTTGTTTAGATTAAATAAATTAATAAATATTTTATTTTACGGTATATTCGTTGGCATAGCTGGAAAAGCTATTGGACCGTTGCAAATTGTACAAGGGCATGGTAACACTTGGCAACACAGGGGTACCAGTCACTTATTATTTTTATTAAATTAAAATACATAGTGAAATATCTCACCATGGTGATATTTGTCGACGGTACTTAATGATAATGTTACAATATATTATAGTATTGGATGAAAATACATCTATTTAGTTTATCCACTGTTCTACTGTCTTAACATAGCAATTATATACTTGCATCTATTTTGCGTCATTTTGTTCGAAAACCTTTCAAATAATTTAATAATGTATTTCGATTAATAATACCTTCCGCATTTTCTTACTGCTGATAATTTATACTCCGACCTCATTTGTTGACCTGTATGTTTGCTTAACAGTAACGATACTGTCAGCAAAGAAAGTTAAGCTTTAGCGATATTGCTAATTCTTTTTTTAGAAGAAATATGGTTAAAATGTACCTTAACTTTTGTTGTTAAATACATCTTTTAAACTTTGTCATTATATATTTTTTTTAATAGTTGAATTAGTTTTTCTATTCGAGAAAATACATACAATCATTAATAAAGAATTCAAGTAAATAAAAATTTTGGTAAAATCAGTGTTTATAGAATGGACTGCACATCAGTGTTACCAACCTGTAAAGAAAGGACTACGCCGTGTTATTATATTTTACATAATATATAAAATATCATATTTACACATGTTAATTGAAAATTTCGCGAATTACTTGTTATTTGAAATAATTAAAACTTGCGAACGAAGTGTCAGAAACAAATTGTTCGACATATTTCACTATTTTAATTACATTAGCACTTGTGGTGTGTCCGTGTCAGCTGTTAGGATTATAGTTTAAAAAATTGGAGTTTTAATTACTTTTTTACGTAAACAATAACAGCTTTGTGCTTGACTATACATGGATAATATTGGTTGGATATTTTATTAATAAATTTAGAAAGGAGGTTATCGTAATGATTTATTATGGTTGATAGAATTTCCACGTATATCAGTGACTTTTAGAATCGAGGCTATTATCAATAACTTAAATTATTATTTCATGCCGAATATGAAATCTGGGACGCTGTAATGTGATTAGCTAATCTATAACTGTGAAAATTGTGATATCGTTATATTGATTTATTTTTGTTGAATGTTGAATCATGGTTTTATAAGTTTATTAACCTTATAAAAAATATGATATTCATATTGGTTTTTATATAATTTTACGATAAAACCCATTGCATTTTTAGTACTTTCGTTAATATTGTAATTTATAATCATGTTTGGTAGTTTGCGAAATAAGTTTCAAACTGTGCAAGAAGGTATCTCAGCTAGGTAAACAATGTATACATTACTTTACAATTTCCTTGCCATTATATAAAAGCTGGAAAATAGAAATATAAATTATTTATACAATTGATCATAATGTATTTTATATTTAAGTGATTGTTGTTATTTTAGTATTAGAGGACTAACTGCTAGCGAAAACCCAAGACAGAAAAAGTCTGTTAGTGTACGAGATGTCAATTATCATGCTGGAGCTGATATATTGCACAGATATCAATTACAATGGAACGAGTTACATGAACTGGCAGAGGAAAATGCAGGAAAAGCTCAAGAAGCAGACAAACTTATAGGAACTATTTATGAAAGACTTGAGCAAGAATGGAAAAATATTACATCTCTAAATAGTACCTTAGCTTATATACCAAAAATTAATAATGCAATTCAAGAATTAATGGATCAAATAGGTATTTTCAGTTAAACAAAATTTATGATGTAATCCTAATTGAAATAATATCAAATACTTTCATGTCTTGAAGGAACATTGCAAGAGATGTTTGAAGAAGTGGAGGGAGCTATTTATCGATTGGAGGATTTAAATGAAATATTGGATTTACAAAGTGGACAATTAGATCATAGATTTCAATTAGCTCTATACGAGGAAAAAAAACTTGCAGAGTTAAATCTAGTTAAAGGTACCTTATATAATATATAAACTTTGTTGAGTCTATAAAAATAAACAAATGTATTTACATTATGACATATTTTAGCAAAGTTGGCTGTTGAACATGTTGAAAGAATATCGCAATATGAACAGAAACAACAGAAGATGATGAAAGAGAGACAAGAGACATTTGATGAGGTATTCAAAGAGCAACTTGAAGAATATAAAGCAACAGGGTCTATACATAGTATGTTCCATGCCTCATATTTATAAATTATGATAAAAATTGTTTATCTTTATAAATTGAGTGCAGCACATTTTATTCCTTTCATTTTCAGAATTGCCAGTGACACAGCAAGGGCCTTCTTTAGATGAGATTGTCTTAGATGTAGATTCAACAACATTCAATGATTTCTTAGAAAACTAGAATTCAATTTTTTATAATTAAATGTTTAATTCATGATGTAAATAATTAGAAATTCAAGGAGGTATAATTTATTTTTTAAATTACAAATTGTGTACATATTGTTCGAGAAATAAATAATAACGTTACAGAAATATGAATCTTGTGTGAATTGCTAGGTAAGATTTTATTCCCCTCAAACTTTCAATACATGTTACACGTAATTTTATTCGTTTTGACGTAACAGACCATATTCTATGTAATTACAAAAAAATCATTTTCCTCAAGAACGAATATGGTATTCGCGTCCTGCGGGTCAACACGAGTAAGACGTATAATATCTACTGAAATTTTGAGGAGTGGTCTGAAATACATAATAATTGTACGTGAATAATGTGTGATAAAATATTTATAAATTTATTTTTATTTAATCTATCTCAGTTTCCATTTAATCGTTGGAAACAAAAATTACATAATAATCCTTGTCGTAGGTTAGGTTAGACTAGTAAATTAAGAACACTTCTCAGTGTGTTCCTGAAAGACGCGTAATACTTACACTCTAACCTCAAAATAAAGCGATTCAAAAGTAAAATATAATGAATATCAACGGTTAACTATAACATACTTTAATGATATAAGGACAATTAACAGGTATGTATTATTTCATAAAATAATTTATAAATTAGTTGATCAATTAATCAAAATAGATCAATCAACAATGCTTTAAACCAGTCAACTTATAAAAGTATAAATCAGTTTTGTAACTTAGATTAATTTATAAACATATAATTTTCAGTACACACCAAAAGTTAAATCGAATAAACAGAAAATGATCCCGCCAAGGAGAAGAAAAGAATATATATTAGATCAGTTGCACCGAGGAGCAGTAAGAACATGCTTAGCTTTTTCAACTATATGCGCCGTAATGATCGGGGTTCAGATATACAATTATATCCGATACGTACGACCTGAACAGAAGAGACTGTATTTGTTACAACAAAGAGAAATGTTGGATGAGGGAAAAGCTTTAGAAGATAATAATGGTATAGAAATTACAGGTGTAAATGTATTGCAATGAATATTATAATAAATTATAAATAGTAAATAAAAAGAAACATGTAAATTTTCATTAAAAGAAAAGTATGCACTGAATGATATTTCTTCTTAATAAAAGGAAATGGTACACTTTATAGTTTAACAATTTCTATATACACATGTCATATAAATTTTAGTGTAAATACACTCTTTTAAAAAATTTGTTTTATTTAAGAAGTCAGAATTGTATACATCCCATACCATAATGTCTTCCAAACGAGTATAAAAGGCATACTGCGTGATTAAGCCCTGAGTGATTTTCAAATTTGACATAGAACGAATGTGCTTTATAACATATAACTTTTCTTCATAATTCGTGCTATTTTACCTAAATATATGTTTATAATTTTTTAATATTCTCCTATTATAGATGGAAGTAAAGGTTGTAATATAAAAGTATCACTCGCGTAATGTATACAAATATTGAGTTAAAATTTTGAAATAACTTTTTGTAAAAGTTACCGACTCATACATGATTTAATACAGAATTAAATAGACCTATTAAATAAATGCTTAGAGAATAAATATTATATTTACACTGTTTATAAATTTAAAGACCGAGTATAAATAACACATTAATATTTTCTTGCTTTCAATGAACACGTTTCACGGTAGACATTCATAAAATCTTATGTAAGATTAAAACACTACTGTCTTGCATCTTGTGTAACCACATTTTATACAAATAATAGAAATATACGTCTTTCATTTACAGTGAACGATTACTTAATTGAAAGCAAATTACTATAAATGGAAGGATTACTTCTGTTAATAACTAAAATTTCATGTTATAAAATTTGTATATTAAATAAACATTTTATGTTTAATATTTACATGTATGCAAGTTGAGTGCACATGATACATTTACAAAGTATATGGTCGATAGTGTTAATTGCGTTGCTTTAAAACGTCCTACATTTCGGTTTGAAATTGTCAAGCACATGAATTACTATTTATCATAAAGCCCAATTCTTTTTTTTTCATTTTTAAAAATGCCTGATTTCCTCTCAGAATTATTGTAAGTCTTACAGAAGGCAGTAATTTTTGTACACCTTCCAAAAGTAATTTTCGAGTACAAAATACATCGCTTATATGCCGGATAGTATATATACACTTTTTTTTTTCTCTTGTAATGGACATAATTTGTACTCAGTTTCTTGATAGTTCTAGTCAATCATATTTCTTAAAATGGTACTCTAAAAATTTCTTAGATGCAGTATAGATACATTTAATAAAAAAAATGAAGAATGAGTCTTATTTACACGTTATAAAAATCAATCGATGTAAGACTGATCGAAGGCATATAATTCCATATCTGTATATTGCCAGTACGATATACTGAAAGTAACAATTAAATAAAAGCTATACTTATATTCAATCGCTGATGGAACCGTCTAACATACCAAAAAGTAGTACGAGGCTTGAAATATTGTCTTACAGAGATCGATTTTTAAACCACATCGACATATTTTGAAGTACTAAAAACACTTGGTAAAGAATATACCAAATCCGTTTAACCCCTTGGCATACTCTGGCGAGTCTGACTCGTGATCACAACACAAATGAGATATCGGTCGTTATAATTTATGGCCCGGATTTCACCCGGCTGAGTGTCGTATCTCAAGGGGTTAAAAAAAAGAAAAGGACTTACAGCGGAATTGAATGAGATAGAAGGAAACAAAAACGTTTGTATGTTCATTGAAAAAAAAAAATTATCTCATGTTTTCCTTAAAAGTCTTAAATCTACGATCTGATCGAATACTTGCACAAACCCTGTAGCCCATAGGCTGCAACTTGAAATTTCGACGATAAAAATCTCAAGCAGTAAACGTTTACGAATTATTAGAAGTGGGATTGGAATTCGATAATGATTCTACACGCATTGAATCGATTCTGGCAACAATTTTTAACGCCGGACCCAATTTGATACTCATCGCCGACATGAGGTGATCTTCCTTGAGTAACATGAGTGCTTGACCATCTATTTCTTGGATAGCGAAATCTTCCGCGTAGTCCGCACAACCTGGCAAACCACGTATGAAATCACATACTTCTCCAACCTATATGAAACACAAAATGTTTTAATTACATTATACGTTCTGTCTCGTTTTTTGTTATTATCAATCTATAGCAATTAACATTAAATATGTTAAATCATTACCGTCCACTTGACAGGATTAACTTTTGGCAGTGTTTCATCAACAGAAGACGTAGTAGTCGTAGTAGATAATGATTTATCTTCCCCATTCTTCTTGATCAGGTCTCCATCAATGTTCTTCGATTCAGTCTCCATTTCAGTCCATTGTTTTTCCACTCCGTCACGGTCTCTTTCACGTTTTTTGCTATTTGATTCATAACTTATGATAATGTTCCAAATGTTAGTAACTTACTTTGTATTAATCCATACCTTCATGAAATTTCCAATCTAATTGATGTACTTTCTCAGACACGCAATAGTTTCAAAAGTAATGTATTTACTAACCTTTTTGCGCAACCGGTGGAACAGAATCGCTTCTCCTTTTTGAACTTAATATTCTGTTCATCCACTAGATTACCGCAACTTTCACATTTCCCGATTTGAACATTATTTCCATCCTCGTCGCTGGGATAACTGGGCGCGTGCTTCTTCCCTGTAAGGGTTGAAACATGCAACGAACGTTACATTATATTTCTAATGTAAAATTATATAGCATGTGTGAATCTTTTGTAATCTTACTTGGCGGTTCTTCGTGATTCTCTTTCTCGGACATATTACTATTACGATTCAAAATATTACTATTTTCTTGACTAACTGTATTATTTAATGACGTTCGATTAACAGCAAATGGTTCAGACGCTGAAATAAATCAATTCACAAGGGTAAACATCATAAATAGTTCATACAACATTATTTCGTGATAATACAATTTTTTACCTTCTTGTATGACAAAACCTTCTATTACGTGTGTAAGGACTTGTGGTTTAACCATTGCTTTTGGAGGCACATGTTTACTGTTTGCAGTAACCGGTACTGAAACGGGTATTGCTGCAGACTCTTCATTGCTAACACCATTCGTTATAGAATTAATGGTATTCGCCAATCCCGCCAAAGGATTGTTGCAGGGTTTCTCTTCGGGCTTCACTGGTGAACTTTCTTCATCTTTTATGGTTGCTTTACATTGGTCCCCATCTATAAAAAGCAATACATTCCAAAAGAACTCGAAACATGAAATACAATAATGTCGTCTTGAAACCAACCTGTCGTTTCTGGTTGCGATACTGTAATTTCCTCTATCGTAAGCGGCAACGGTTCTTCCTTTTTCAACATTGGTTTAGAATTTTCATCGTTGGTAATTGGTATATTCGTAGTGGATGGTAATACTAAGGAACATTCTGCTTGATGATTACGATCGGGCGACGTAATCATTATAGTGGAATTGCTATTCTCGTGGGTTTGCTGATCTGATGACTGATTTACCATTGACATTGTTTGAACCTGCGACGTCCCACTAACTATTTGACTACCAATTATTGTCGAATTAATCGCCTGAAATATATTATACTATACAATAATCACCGTTACATAATATCTGAAAAGAAAATGCAATGTTCCTAACCTGCAGTGGTAACTGTTGTACTGTGGACATTGGTGATTGTTGTACTTGACTCATTTGAGATGTAGTGGCAACTCCAACTCCAACCCCTACTCCCCCTACAGATACAACGGGCATGATCGGGCGTTCACCACCAAGAACTACACCGGGTTGTTGCTGTTGTTGTATAGCCATGTTTGCTGGAAGGAAAAAGACAAGAATTACATATCCCAAGAAAACTATTAGAAAACATTACCAGGAAATGTAGAGAACGTCATCTTACTCATTATTGGTTTAGGCTGTATCTGCTGTTGCGATGGTTGTACTTGCTGCTGTTGGTACTGCTGCTGCATCTGCTGTTGCTGCTGCGTATGCTGTTTCTGTTGAATAAAAACCTGTTGATGTTGTTGTTGCATCGTTTGCTGTGACTGTTGCTGCGGTTGTTGCGGCGATTGCAGTGGTTTACCGCGGCCTTTACCGCTACTACCACTTCCTTTTCCACTCTAAGTTATAGAACATACAAAAAAAAAACACTTCCGTTCCATTATACGAAAACAAAAAAGAACTTCGGTATGCTTCTAATCACGTGTCTCGACAATCGCAGCAGTCGAACATCGTTCTTCTAATTGTTACTTGAACTATAGTAACCTGTGCATATACCGTGGCTTGTACTCCGTGAACGGTTTGGGTAGAGACGGAACTGGCGGCCCGTATATTGGCAGCTTGTACAGCTTGTAGAGAGGACGGCAAAATACTCAACGGTCGTTGCCCGCCTGTGCTCTGCTTACCCTGCTGTTGCTGCTGTTGCTGTATATCCATTACCTTCGGTTTTGCGCTAGCTGCAGCAATTTGTTGTACCCCCTGAATTTGTTGCTGCGTTGCCAATGCTAGATGAATGAAAGGGATATGTTACACGATATTTGGAAACATTTTCTGTTGCATGTATATTAAACTAACCGTTATGAGCTTGAATAGGTTGTGGACTTTGTATAAACATATCGGGTTGATTAGGACCTCGTATGAATATTTGATTGGTAAGAAGCGCAGGTGGTTGAATCCCCGTCCAAGCAACCTGTGGCGTAAACTGCCATGGAGCAAACTGCATACCACCCCTTCCGCCGGGTGGCGTAGCTGCCGTACATGTAGTATACTACAAATTTGAAAAACAATATGCGTATGAAACATTATTCGTATACAAAACAAAGCAGTTTACCGCAACAGGAAATTCACACAGAGCAGTACCTTTTGTACTTGATCTTGTTTAGCCGCAGACTGCTGTTGCTGCTGCTGTTGTATAGATGGTGGAGGTTGTGGAGAACCGAGCACACCAAGTTGTCCGAATACTAAGGTTTGTCCTGCTCCTGGTGTAGCAGAAGTGGGTACTGGTAGGTAACCGGTAGGAAATCCTTGTACTTTAGTACCACCAGCTGCAGGGTGACCTCCACCTTGACCCGGTGTTGAGGCAGTAGTCAACATGTGAGGTGTGAGTTGAGCAGCTGACTGAAATGGCTTTCCAGCCGTTATGACCTGTAAAGCATCCTACTTAGAAGAAAATTTGTATTTGTATAGAATACAACATGTCATGAGTATATTTAAGTACCTGTATAGAGGAAGGATTGATCCCTGCTGGATGAAGAGCCAGGTTCCCTGGCATTAGTAATGGAGTTCCTTGAGTATTATACAGTTGCTGTAAATGATATGCTTGGTTTTGCATGGGTTGCTGAATAACTTGTACTGCTTGAGGGTGTGCAGCCATAGTGGTTATAGTTGTCGCTCCTGGTTGACCAGACAAAGTCATGGATACCCCTCCAACACCTTGCTGTTGATGTTGCATTGATACTGCAACAGCACCCTACAACATATTGTAATTTTATAAATCATATTAAAATACGTTCTATATTTCTTCTTATGTGTACATATTTTGTAAATAAATTTTTACCTGTTGTTGAGGCATGATTGCTGCTACCTGTGGCTGGACTTGTACTTGTGTGGGAACAACATTGTGCGGTCCATTATTAGACTGTTGCTGTTGAGACTGTTGCTGCTGCTGCTGCTGTTGCTGAACTTGTTGCTGAACTTGCTGTTGAACCTGTTGCTGAACTTGCATTTGTTGTTGCGATTGCACTTGCTGCTGTATTTGTTGTTGAGGCTGAACCTGTTGCGATTGTACTTGTTGCTGAGTCTGTGGTACTTGTTGTTGCTGAGCTGATTGTTGTTGAACATGCTGTTGTTGTTGCTGTACATTTTGTTGTTGTTGAATATCATGGGTTGCAATCATCATTTGCTGCTGTTGCTGAGGCTGTTGTTGCGATTGCTGTTGTTGAGACGGTTGCTGCTGTTGCTGCTGAGGCTGCTGTGGAGGTTGTTGAGGTTGTTGTTGTTGTGTTTGTTGTGGCTGATTTTGAGAGATTCCAATTGGTTTAACATCTGTCATGTTTTCCAACACCTTTTTGTTATTTGAAATTAAACTTCCTTGGAAAAAGAAGTGTTCTTATTCTTATTAAATTTTCAATAATCGAATGTCTTTTTTTCTTGCCATTGTATATAAATATTTTTCATTAAATTATCACTTTTAATCTTTTTAGTTTGCTGCACCTGAAAAGAAAGTTTTTCTATAAAAATAAGTTACATTGAAATTAGTTGTATATAGAAACAACAATCAAATGTATATTAAGAGTTTATTGGTAATCAAGATAAGATATCCTTTATACAAAATTACTTATTTGAATATGTAATTTACAATATATGTAATTTCATAGTTATAATTTTGTACAATATTATGTATAGATATCAAAAACATTAAGCAATCATGTGTTCTTATTTAGTTCATACAATCCTAATGTAGCACCAATCATGTTTATTCTTGCATGAATTAGAGGTACCAGTTGCACAATATTTATCGTTCATAACCTTAACGTTTCTGACACACGTGTAATATCGCTCATTTTAAATTCGAATTTTATCCGATCACTACCGTCTGACATGTTGATAGAAGAACTGTGAAAGTGGGGTGTTTAAAGTGATCAATTATTGCTAACAATGTAAGTGTTTTATTGTACTTGATTATTGTATGTTTAATGACACAAACAAAAAAAAATAGCTAATTTTATAGTAGCATGAACGATTTCGCATGCGGTACCTTTCGAATTTCCGTACTGAAATATCTGTATTACGAACAAAATATACTACTTTGTACATCGGTATTAGTGATTCTCTTACTATTTGATAAATGTTGTTTTTAATACATATCAGATATTGCATTTTTATAAGTATAAGAATAAAAATGAGAGTTAACCTTTAAGTGAACCATCCGAGTAATATTTGAAAATATTATGATCACGAGAATAATAAGATTTTTCATTGATAAAATCATCTAATTATTTCTTGTTTAAATATTGATCAATAATATATAAATTCTATATTGAAAAACGAAATTTCTACAAATGAAATAATTTCCTATTATGGATAACACAGCTAATAAGAAAAAATTATATATATACGCACATATATACGTCACATATGAATATATGTATATATGTATACAAACCAGTCTATACGTTTTTTTTATATATTTCAATATTCTAAAATTTAATTTTCTACATATACATATATACGTATACGCTTTAACCTAATATATTCTCTACTACTCTGCGATTTCTCTGAATTACATAGTAGAAGTGGAATGAAATAAAATAATTTACATATTTTCCGAAATTTAATAGTTGTATGAGCTATATCAATTTTCTTCAAATGTTTAAAAATACTATATTCACAGTAACGAAATACTTATAAACGCCACAATAAATACATATGTACATACAAACAACATTCATATATTTAAATGTTGCGTATATATATACTTATCAGTAAACATGAGAATGCATCGTAGTAGGAATGTTTATTTATCATTGAAAAATCTATTCTCCTTTGAGCGAAGTTATCATCGAATACTAGAATGCGAATGTTTATGCTGTTTGAGTAACTCCTAACCTATAAAACATTGTAAAAAAAAATGACTAGTAAAATTTCATATTGTATCGTATCGCGAGCAGAATACGAGCCACACAGAAAGTAAAATTCCTTTTCATAAATTGGCAGCAAGAAATACGAGTTTGTGTAAACATTCGTAGTCCGCGAGACGCCATAAAAAAAAGACGAACAAAGAATAATACATTTTAAAGAGGCGGAACGAAAGGAAAAAGTCTCGAATGGTAAAGAAGGGACCTATATCCACGAGAGAAGCATTGAAAAATATCGACGAAACGAATACACGGACACGATCCATCTTGAGAACGGAGAGGAAGGA